GGCCCCGAGCGCGGCCGAGGCCCCGAGCGCGGCCGAGGCCCCGAGCGCCGCTCACGTTCCCCTCAGGGAACCGCCCGTGGGTGTCGAGGGGTCCCCGGCCGCCTCCCGGAACCCCCGGGGGCTCGGGATGCTTCAGGGAAGGGGAAAAGATGGATAAAAGCAGTGAAGAGCTGTCCCGCCTCACCTGCTGAGTGCGCTGAGGAGCGGCTCCATCCGACTAACCCTTCCCTAACACCCGCCGGCCCCACCGCATCACCAGGCCCTGGCTGAGGGGACAAAGGTGGCAGAATTGGGTTAAAAAGCACGGATTGTAGCCCCAGGGCAGTGATGGATCTCTCCCACCTCCCACCCTTCAGCCTCTGCTCGGCCAGGCAGAAATGGCACCGGGTTGAAGAAACATCCCACTCTAATCAGTTTGTCTTTAAGGTGTATCATCTGGAGGGAAGGAGGGTGGTGAAAGATGGCTGCAGACGTGCTTTTTAATTAATTAAGTTGTGCACATTCCAGCTATGGCTGACGGCTAAAGGAGGGCCCGCGGCCTAATCTGCGAGTTGCGGGAACTTGCCCAGGCAATTATTTGCTAATCCCATGTGTAGATCTGTTCTGGCAGGCAAGCACATCTAGTTAAAAGCTACGCAGGAGCACTGGGTTCACAGACTTCAGCAACTCTCCCCCTTCTTTTATACCTGCTAGCTTAGTGGTTTCCTTGTCCCAGCTCAAAAATGATGCGTTTTTCTGTTTGCCCATGACACAGCCCTGTTTGGGATGAGGAGGGAGACTGATTGCCATTGCCTCCAACTCACCGCTTGCACAAGCCCAAGGAAGAAGACGATGAAGCCTCAAGCCTGACCTGGTGATCACTGTTCTGCTGTCTTGGAAGAAACCACACCTCTGTTCAGAAACACAGGCTCTGCTAACGGGTGCTCATGCTCCATCTGCAGGTTAGCCAGAGACTCGGATTTAACGTGGGATTGCTTGGGAGAGCTACTTTTCAAAAGATTAAAAACAGTTCAGCAATCAAGAAGCTCTAAATGCCAAATAAGGCCTTACCTGTTCTGTTACACATCTCTGATTGGACCAGAACAGCTTTTCAGTAGAAAGAAAAATAGTCACATAAAAGGTAGCCACAAGAACAAGCACCAACCTAGTACTAGAAATTCTGCCTCACTTATCCACAATTCTCTAACAATTTCTGTAACTTTTATCCCACTCCTAACAGGATTTTCTCCCTCATGAATCACACCCGGCACGCAGGAAGCAAGACACATATACTATTCAAAGCTTCCTTTCCTGGGGACAGAGCTTGAGAACCTCTTTTGTCTCCTGTTTTCTTATTGACAACTGGGAAATACAAGCCTTTTTGCAAACCCTGAAATTAAACAAGTGGTTAGTTTTTGAAGTGACAGAGTAATGTCTTTTTTCCAAGTATCTGTTTGCTGTTTGAATATCCTGCAATTGTTTTGTGTGCAGTTAAGCATTTTGAAGTTATATATGGAGCAAGAGGTGCTCAGATACGTACAAGAAATAAATACATAGTTAAGAGGAAAATACCTGTTAAATTCTGTAAATTAGATCAAGGCTAAGACATAGGAATTACCTTGTGGATCAACTCCTGCTTCCCCCACCCCGACACAGACGCACATTGAAAATCAACACAAAACCAGGCTTTGTCCATTTTACAAAAATAGCTCTTCATGAGATTTAATGCCTGTCTCTATTTTACAGATGTTCCAGACAAAAATCAACCTGCATATTTTATACATAAGAAGAGAACTCGTGACAAGTTGGAACATCCCCTTTGAGCTTGAATCTTGTTTGAATGAGTGTAGAAGGTCACCTGGGTAAAACCTGCCTCTAACTTGTTAAAAAGATCTCTACGGTAACATCAAGTTTTCCCAACAATGATCCAGGAAAAAAAAAACCCGAAAAAAAAAAAAAAAAAAGACTTCACAACAGAAACAGTAATTCCTTACAATACAGATAAGGAATATCTGTGTAGGTAATTAAAAAATGCACCAATGTTTCCATGAATTATTAAGCATTCAAAACGGCTACTATAGAGTTATATAAGAAGGGAGCACCTACAAGTTGGATCTTTTCTGCTTAACTTAATTAGGAAGCTACAAAACTGTTTCTGAAGACAGAACACCACCACCAGCAACCTTACCCTGGCGAGGTTATCTTCATTACCTGGAAGTTTTGCAACCACAGGCAAAACAAGGCGCGTATTTTACCCTCCCGAGAGGCAAGCAGGCTGCGTTTTGAGATTACAATTCTCCCTCCCAGACAAGATTGCCAAAGCAAACGCTGAACCTGTCTCAAGTTAAGATATAAATAAATAAAGTGGAGTGACAGGACTCCAACAGGATGTCCTGACTTATGCTACAGCAGAAAATAGTCTCTTCTTAAATCCGAGCATAAAGTGGTTTGAAATAATTTACACGTGATCCATACCCTGTGACGTGTCACTTATTTTTGGTTCTTGTTGGCATTTAGGAGAATTATGTGGGATTTGGAGAGATTAACTATATCCAGTCCCTGGAGTTCCAGATGTTGTCACAGGTATCCGAGTCTTGCCAATGAAATCTAAAACTGAGGTCTACTGCCGCACCATAACGCTTAATGAGGACAGCATGAGATTTTAATTAATTCACGCTGACTCTTTGAGTGTTGCCATATTTTAGTCTTGAGCGTGGAGGTCTAGAATTAGAGTTGCATTTCGGGACAGACAGCAGCACTATTTATTAGCACTTATTAGTCCAGTCTCACAGCAATCAGAAAAGACTCAAGTCACTCTTCAAGTTAGTTTTGAGGAGCAGAAGAACAGCGATGGAGTTTCACTGTTCCATCATCCCATGCTGCAGGCTCAGCAGAGGCAACTCAGGGTTCCCTGCCATTATCTGAAGGCAGCAAGTGAGGTTTGGGCACCCTTTAGTTTCGGGACTCCGAGGACGTGGGGCTGCGAACTGTTGACATCAGGTGGGACTTGTAGGTCTTGCTCAGGCCAGTCATCCAGAACTTGAGAAGCTTGACGTTGTCCTCTTCTGCAGCTCCCAGAATGCTCAGCAGTTTTTGGGTATCCTCCTTGGGTCTGCTGTCCACTTTAGTGAATTTAAAGAGGACCTTCACTTTACTGCAAAAACAAGAAATTCCTGTCACTATTACAATGGTCTTGGATGCATCAAAGAGGGAATGAGCAGTAACTGTACCTTCTCTCGGAACCTCCTGCAACTAAATGTTAATAAAAGCTTCAAACTCCCATGGAAATTATTCTCATGCTTTGAATGAAGAAGGTGGGGGGAAGAAGAGTACAAGAAAAGAGGGGGGGGGATTGTTCATTTGCAGTAGTAATATGTATAATTCCACTCTGTCTTTTCATTCTAGCGAAAAGTAGAACAATTAACTGTGACAACTGGGAATCTCCCCGCGAGACACATCCCGTGCCCATCCGGCCTTCGGGTAAATGCACAAAATCGTAATGTTCCGTGAATTATTTCACACGACCGCCTGCTCTTCCTTTCTAGCTCCCTGCACCTTTGAAATGCAGCGCCTGAGGGTGCAATCACGACATCTGTTTGGCACGTTACCTGCAGTGGAACATACACACACTGACAGGCTCATACGTATTTGCATATTTAATCCTCCCCATATATATAAGGCAGACAAGTATTGTCACGTAGGTAACCTACAGGTGCGTGAACTGAAGCGTAAAGGTTAAGAACTGCTGAAAGTCAAAAAGACTTGAGACTACAGTAGAAGAACCCTGATATTCTTAGCTCCCAACAGTACATCCAACTGCCCTCTCAGGACTGAAGCTGGAGACACCTGACTGCAGGTCTGCTCTGGACTCTGCTGTAACCGTTGCAGGATTAGTGCCAGAGCTGTGTCTCCAGAAGCAACGCGGTCCTACTTACTTCATCCACTCCTCCTTCAGGCAAACAAGGCACTGATCCACAACGTCTACGGAAAGGTTCTGGTTGGTCAGGGCAGCTTCGATCTTGTTCAAGATTGTGGGGCCAACTGCAAGGGTTAGAAAGAGGGGGAAGAGGATGAGAAAGAAGACACACAAGCTATAGGTTACCTGCTTATCCCAGTAACTTGGCAAAGACCAGTCCATTTATTCTGTGGCCTGGAATTACAAGCAAGAATACACATTTATTCTGCTTCTTGTTCCATTCAAGAGCACTAGTCGTCCCCCCCCGGCTCATTTTTCAGCAGTACTTTGGTCTGGTGCATTAATGCAGCTTCCTCTGGATGGAGAAAGCTACGCTATTAATAACAGCACAGCTAATTTCAACATGGAATTTGGCTTGATTAGTTCACAGATAAGAATCTTGCTTGAGTCAGGAAGAAACCTACCCATCCCACAAGGTGGAAAAATATACCCTCCAGTGGCCTGCCTTGATTTGATTTCTGTGGAAGAGGAGGTAAAGATCATGCCACTAGAAAAATATGTGACCTGAGAAGCAACATGGAATTTTGTGATGGATCTTGGGACACTGCACACTGGTTCCAGGGCCTTCGTTTTCCTCAAACCCAGTTTTAAACCAAAGTTGTTTAGATTTTGTTGTTTCTAGACCCATAACAAAAGCTCATTCAGAATGCAAAGTTATGGAAAACCTTCATGCTTTGTAAAATTTGTATAACATATATAAAAAAATATAAACCCTCAATTTTAAAGTCTCCACTCACTCTTGATTTAATCTTCCTCTTGTTAAGGTCAGCTCCAGGATACTTAGTTAATAAACAAACCGACAACCAACCCAAGGCATTCCTTTCCTGGACTGTTTTTTGGCATTCCCTAGGAGACTATTTTCCCAGCAGTTTGTGGCCTACTAAGTTTGATGATGTGGTGGAGAAAAGACCTTTCAGTGACTATTTTTGTCCAGAATCTTCTGGAAATGCCATGGGTTGGATACCAAGTAGACTACTGTAATTACACCTGGGGGACCCACAATAGCTGGAGCACAGGAAGAACAGGAAGAACATCACAGAGGGAGCGAGTCTCTGCTCCACGTCACACCCTTGCCACCTGACAAGTCTCTTGAGAGTCAATGGGGCCAATTCACCTAAACCAAGACTTCCCAGAAAACACAAGATCTGACTCAAATCACATCTGGGTGCAAGTGTTCAAGTCCCTGAACAAAGCAAGCAAAAAAAAAAAAAAGAAAAAAAAAAAAGGAGAGAGACTTATTATGTACTGATGGTGGAACCCGCCGACTAGGCTTTTTGTTTTAATCAGTGCCTTTTGTTTCCTTCCACCCTGGCTGACAGCTTCATCCCACAGAGCGGGAACCGGGATGTCTGCTCATGGCTGTCTCGCTGCATGGCTGGCAGGGGCCTGGGCATTCTTCTATCAGCCATACTTGTCTATCAAGTGGAACACAGGGGATGAGGAATGTCATGGTCCTTAGAAGCTTTTAACTAAACACACAAGTATTCCAGGATAGAAAATGTTCATTATGGGTTACAGAATCATTTTCCTACAATTGATACTGTACCCATGTTATAGAATTTGTTTCTCATACCTGAAAATTAATAAGCAAAATGCTGATCAGGCAAAGCAAATCCTCTGCAATTAAAAAGACTGTGGTAAACCTCACCTCAAATAGTAGCACCCCTGTTTTATATTGACCCGGCTTCTACTCAGAACTCCTTAAGGGCCAGTACTTGAACAGCAGAAAAAATAGTTGAAGATCAAAATGCTCTTTTAATCTCAGTGACACAGGTTCTTTCTGCTTTCAAATCACCCACCTCGATCCGCTGCAACAGGGCTGCCGCTGGTGACCACAAACTCGTACTTGTTGAGGGACTGCTCATCCTCAAACAGGGTTGGGTAGAGACTGGAGCGGGTCGCAGTGCGAACTTCCACAAGGACCGCAAACTCTAGAGCAACAAGAGCCCAAAAGAACATGAACTGTACAAGCCCAGATTCCAAAATCCAGCTACATACCCTGCTCCAAGATAGCACAGCTCTGTCAGCTTCAAATATTTGGCCCAGCATTAACCTTTCCTCAGTAGGAAGCAGGAGTGACAGCTATAGCATGGTCGGTGCTTAAAGCAGGTGTCACACCATTCAACTACTCAACAGGCAGAGGGATGTGGAAAAAAAACCCCTCTAAGTGGTATAGGTTCATGCAGCATTGTTAGATGATCTGCCAATACTTAATTTAAAAAAATAATAATAATCTTGTGTCCTTTAAGATAAAATGATAGGGAAAGGAGAGGGTCCTGCACCAGGTTCTTACCAGATGACAGTATGTGGGATGGGATTTGGACATGTGGGCTAAGCCCCAGGAAGTTACACCGATACGCCTCTTCGTACTGGTCACTGTAGGGGATGATCCGCACACAACCCACAGGCAGCATGGTCTAAAAGAGGATGGAAACACATCAAGAGAAACACCAGAGCTAAACCAGTAAAGCACAATTTTCTCCTAACTTTAAGGGTCAGCCAAGAATTGGAGCAGATGCTCCTGATTTGGGGGATGCAAAGTATCTTACTCAGCTTGAAAGACTATGCAGTTGCTGAGGACAACCAAGACATGCAAAGGTTGAGGTTTTTTTTGTTTGGTGTGTGTTTGTTTTTTTATTGTGGGGTTGTTTCCAAATCACATAATTTAGAACACATTCTCCCCAAGACTGCATTGTCAGAGACAGGTCATCACGACGGCTGGACTACTAGAGAAATAGATGTAAAAACAAGCAGCCAGGAAACAAAGGAAAAAGTTCCTACCCGTAGCACATCAAAAGCAGACTGGACAAGATCCATATCTCGAGCTTTCCAGATGACCTGGTTCCCCATCAGAACATGCCAAGCCAGCATGCGGAACGCTGATGCCCCAAGAACCTGAAAAAAAAAATTATCCACAAACATTCTGTGTTGGTTATGAAAATTAGTGACATGTCCAGTTTTCCCAGTCACAAACAATGACTGCCACATAAGAAAACGTCTAGAACAGAACAGCAGAAAATAACATGATAATTTAGCTGCTCTGTGCACAGACTAATAGCTCTGAATCATAGCACCAAGATCAAGTATTTCTTTGAAAGGTGTCGGATTGTCAAGCAAAACAATATTCGCCCCCATCTGCACTTTCAAGAACAAACAGCAGCAAATACCACGTTGCCAACACCACTAATCAATGATCCAATTCAATATCGAGCACATTAAGAGGATGATAGAATAGTTTGGGTTGGAAGGGACTTTTAAAGGTCACCTAGTCCAACCTCCCCTGCAACGAGCAGGGACATCTTCAACT